GTTTGGGTAACTTCGACGGGCACATAACCGCCCTCCTCGTTCAGTTCCATTATCTGTACCCGTGCAAGCAAGTCGTGCTTTTCCTCAGTGTAGAAGTGGGATTCGTTGATTCTTGCACCCTTGGGCTTGCTATGGGACGTCGGCACCGCATCGCGCATGTCATCCCAGCTGAGCAGCTTGTCAAGATGCATAGCTGAAACCTTGGCGAAAATCGCCACTCTCAACGACGTGTCTTGAGAAGCAAACAGCGGAATGCTCATGCTATGAACGCTCTCGAACCGAATGGGTCCCTCGTCAAAATCCCTGATCATCTGGGTGGTGGTAATCCCGTCCTCCTCAGAAATGCCAGGGATGAAGAGCTGGGCGTGCACCTCGGTGCCTTCGCGTTCAGCAAATCCGATCATCTCGTGCATCACCACGTTGAACTTGAGCGTATTGGTCGGTGCCCTCGCACTGGAAGGTTCTAATGCGAGCTTGACCATGCCAATGGCGTGAGATGTGTGTGGGGATGTCACGTCAAGGGTGAAGTCCTGTACCCGGCTCTCAAAGACGGTCTTCAACGGCACATCGACTTCGCCTACCAGTGTGTATTGCGGCATACACGTCTCCACGAAGGGGTTATCGAGGCTCAAGTGTTGCGCGTATTCGGGTTGATCCAAATACTGGAACATCTGCCGCATCTGCCTCACCCGATCGTGGAGCTTCTCTATGCTCCAAAGGTGGACAACGCTGTGCTTGTAGTCAATGACGCGAATGCCGACGCACGGCTTCAGTGCTGTTTCGAGAGCAATATCGTCTCCTTCACCAGTCAGCCCATTGAGCACCATGTCGTACGATGAGCAAAGAAGATGGCCGACGTCTACAATCGTAAATTGGAAGACGACGCTCTCATTAAGCTCATGACTCATGACTTGTGCCTCCTTGAGAGTGGCAGCATGTTGCAGTACCGCCTCGGCCATGAGGACGTAACGTCGACTCCTCCATTTCTTAACCACCGCCTTCGCGCGCTCAATCTCGTCTGCAGAGAGCTTCGGGTTGGCTTTCGGCCGCTTGAGCGGATCCAACTTCTCGATCTTGTCCTCGAACTGACGTCTCTGCATCTCCAGCTGTTTCTGCATGTCGACCTTGAGCTGCATCAGTGTTTCCTCCATTCTGGCCTTCTCCTTCTTGATCTCCTCCACCTCCACGTTCGCTGCCTCAGCCGTCTTCAGCTGGTCCTTGTACTCCTCCTTCTGCTTGTCGAGTTGGCTCTGCATCACGTCTCGAATTTGACCCAGCTTCTCCTCCGTCTCTCCTTGTTTGGGCGTCGATGGCATGGTTAGAGCGGTGTCCAGAGAGAAGTTGTCGAGAGTGCCGGTGGACAAGTACTTTTCCCTTGTCGGATACGACGCCATGGACTCCATATCTTCATCCCCTTCACGAACATTCACTCTCTCAGCTCGTGCTCGCTGGACATCCTCAAAAAGCGCATTCAGTTCTTCATCTGTCAGTTTGGCAAAGTTTTGATCTGTTCCAAGGATGGCCCCTGCCGCTTCCCTTCGCGCAAAGGACCAATCTGACTCTTTTGTGTTTCTTGAAAACGGCGCGGGTGAATCTGGACGGCTGCTGTCGCCTTCAGACACTGCCGTGCTAAGGCTTTGGTGATGGTTGTGACTGGGACTTAGGTTTGGCGATTTCTCCAAGGCCTGCAATTGATTTGCGGTGAGGGATTGCCTCAGTAGGCTTTGTTGCTCGGCGCGCTCTGCTCGTTCGGCTTTCGCTTCAAGAGGATGGTTGAATCTGAAAATATGGAAGTCGCCCAGTATGATGCGGTATCCAGAGTGTAATCGTGTCGGCTCCGTCACTCGTTTGCCGTTCACCATGACAGCCGCGCCCTCCTTTGGGATAACAGTCACTGTTCCATCAGCTGCATTCTCAAAGACACAGTGTTCGTGGAGGATCCGCGACCCATTGAGGCGAATATTCGCTTGGTGCTCCGCGTTTGACTCGACGTTACCAACACTTGTTGAGCCTGGTTTCAGGTTATACACCAAGCACTCTGCTAATAGCGGATCGTCCGAAAGATTGACCAAATGGGGCATCTTCTTGGGGGTCGACATGCCGATAAAGCCCTTTTCGATGCTGATGCCCAGTTCTTCCAGCGCAGCTTCGCGTTCCTTGTGGATTTCTTCGGTTTTTTGCAGCTTCTGCTCCCAGGTCTGATTCAGATCCTGCAGAAGCTTCTCGGACTGATTCAACTGCTCTGCAATCTCGGCCTTGGAGACCTTCTTGACGGTGCCGTCCGGCGTTGTGATGCTGACAATCTGCTTCTCCAATGGCGTTCCCTCTGCGTAAACCTCCTCTCCCGGAACATGAGTGTCACCGACGACTCCGCCATTGCCCAATTTGCTTCTCAGTTGAGCCAATTCTTCCTTCAGTTCGCGGATCATGCGGGCATTGGCGTCCTCATTGACAACAGCGTGGTTCTTGATTCTCTTGGCCGAATCAGCATAACGGAGTGTACTAAGCGTCTCGTCGTAGTTGATATCGGCTGGACTGATGGCCGCTATCATCGCCGTCATACTGTTACCGCCTAACGAATCCTTCAACAACCAGGTGAGGACACTGTCACGATATGGTACCTGGCCGGCCGCGGATCCTTTCTTCTTTTTCCCGGTGGACAGGTCTGCTAGGGCTGCGATGACGCGCCCAAGCGTCGACAAGGACCGGTTGATTTCAGCACCTTCTTTGAGACGGGCGCCGGTGGCTCCAGTAGACGTTGCTCTTTCCGAACCTGCCAAATCCACCAGGCTGATCTTGGCTGCCTTTTCCATTTCCATTTTCGTTTCGGGATCAAACCGTTTTTGGGTCAACATGAGGGTAAATACAGCGTGACTTCTACTGGAGGTTTCGTTCATGTTGGTGGCCGCAACCGTTCTAGCCTTGTTTCCCTCGTCCATCAAGTGTTCGATCTCTTGGAAACTTCCCACGACAAGCTTCGCCAAGTCTTCAACGTAAGGACCCGTTGACGGATGTTCTCGGACCTTGAGATTGCCCTTGTTCGCCGGGTTGAGCAGATCGCGTACACGTTCGTTGTAAATTTCGAGGTAGGAGACTTCCACCGTACAGCGCAGATTTTTGTCTTGTTGCATGTCGTTTATCCGCTTGAACATATCCTGGCAAATCATGGGGATGATACCGGCATCCTTGCCATATCCCATCATCGAGTAGGACTTGCCGGAACCGGTTTGACCGTAGGCAAAGATACAGTTGTTGTAGCCCTGGAAGGCATTGTCGAGCAGCGGTTTGCCCAGGTCCTCGTGTAGCTGATCTTGTCCGGCGTAGTTGGGCGCGTTCTTGTCGAAGGACCAGTATGACCTGTCGAAAGCGAAGATTTTCTGGCCTTGGTCTTTACCACCCTTGACTACAGCATCAGGCGGAGGGGTGAGAACCGTCTGGTTGTCTCTCATCTCGACGATACATTGTGCGCCGCGGTCGTGTTCTGGAATCGGGTAGTCGCATCATCAGTGTCTGTCCGCATGACGTAGGGACGAGCGCGTTCCATGGGTTTCCCTTCTCTTTGAGGGTTTCGCTCTTCAGCGCCGGCAACAGAGCTTTCGGGTATATAAACTCACTCACCTCTTGCGTTGAAGGGACGGCATCTGACCACGACCTTGATGTTTCCTCCACCCCCCATGGGGGCCATGCCTGGAGCCATGGTGGCGCGATATGGCTCTAACGGTATCGCGCCGTGTCGCAGTGCTGTATATATGTATCGGCTGACCACACGAGTGACCAAGGAGCTGTCGAAACCGTCCGCGACTCCTCTAGATTGGGCGTGTCTAAACAGTCAAACTTATCCGGACGCGATCACAGCCTCCGAACGTCCCAACATTTGTTTTCCAGATCCAGCCGCACGACAACGTCACTCATTCTACCATGCGCCGTGGTATTCTGCGGAAGGGTTGCGGCCAGCTCGATTTCTAGGAGAGATAGTCGAGATGCTGGTGGCTCGCTGGCGTATTATGTTGCTTTACCCCACCCACGGTCGCCTGTCGCCTGGCCGACGGTAATCGCTGCAGGTGGGCGGGTGACGGCGCACGGGGGGGAACGACTGGAGATATGTATGGGGCCGTGGGAGGGTGAAGAGCGCGTGAGGAGTCCGAGATGGTCGCCGTTGTTGTGGCAGCCGCCGACACTGTCGCAAAAGGAAGATGGTAGCTAGGTAGGTCTGCGAGTTCAGGTCGCTCAGTCGTTCAACGACCGCAGCCCGGAAGCTGCAAAGCCGGCGTCTTGTGTCACGCAACAGCCAATGTTCGGGAAAATCGTCGACTTCGTTGTAACAAAAGTCAAGAGGATCGATCAACAGGACGTGGGTTGTCTGGCCGAAGGAAAGGGACTGAGCGAACGATGCCTGCCCGTGCTTGGTGGGCTCTGACAGGTTGGCTTGTGTGTGTAGTTGTTGGTTCCTTTACCTTGGCTCAGCTTGGGTTAGGTTCCCTGCCAGCTGTTGCCCGCCCCGAGTCGATCCCGCCCGTTGAGGCCCGGGTCCTTAGCGCCTGCAGCCCCGCAGCATGCCGTTACCTAGGTACCTACCTCTAGGTACCTACAAGCTATGAACGTGACGGCGTCCGGCGGGGACTGGAAGGAAAGCCCGCTGCCCCTGTGGAGCGGGAGGCAGGCAGTACCTTAGTGGAGAGTCACCACTGAACGAACCAGGAGATGCCCGCTGTGCTCGTGCATGCCCTGCGCTACCTCTACTCTAGATTCTGGCAGCGGATCGCTCCGTCATTGGTCGGCACTTCTCTTCATGTCTGACAACATCACAGCTCGACTAAACACCAGCTTCCGTCCTACTGTCCAACGAGGTCATGCAATCAGGGTTGTTTCAGACGGAAACAGATGTTGGCGATTTTGTACTTGCCCATACCCACTCCCAATTCCTCAAGTAATGTAAGTAGAGGTGTGTACTTGACTCACACAAAAGTCTCCAGCTGGGTATGTAACAAACAGCTTCTTGATGTCACATCAATCATAAACCAATTTGGATTTATCCTAAACACTAACAGCTCAGGTTGGCATACCCTGAGCTACCCAGTGGTCACTTACTTCCTCCCATGATAACCGTCTAAGACGAGTTGGCAGCCTCAGAAACGCCCAAGTCCTTCTCAACCATCTGCCTGCAAATAGGGTGGTAGAACTCGCGGTTCTTCTCAAAGGTCTTGAGCGCAAGCTCCCGATCGACCTTGTTGAGACCACGGAAGAGAGGGCGGACGAACTTCATCCGACCAACCTCTCCCAAAAGGTCAGCGACGCCCTGGTAGGCGCTGGCGTCCTTGGAGCGCATCGCAATGTGGTAGTAGGCGGCCTTAAGCTCGGCGTTCTTGGATTCAGAGAGGCCGTAGGCCTTGCCAAGCGCTTGCTGTGGTGGTATTAGCGTACTGCTGACTGGAAGTAGAGAGGTAGACACCTGAAACTTACCGATTGCTCAACCGTCAACGGCTCCTCAAAGTCCTGCACGGCGTTAAGGAAGACCAACACCTGGTTACCAGTCCACGACGACACATCAGACGGGCTAGGCGTGAAGTCTTTGCTCTTCCACTTTTCAGCCAGCTCGTAGCACACGTCCGCAAGGGAGGTGTCAAACTCGGGCTTGCGGGGAAGGCCGGTGCTGTGGAAGCGACCCTCCCAATCGATCGAAGCAATCTTGTCCTTGAGATCAGAGTACTCGGGGGCGCTGAAGAACTCGAGGAAGGTGTCCTTGAACTCGTACGAGTCAAGCGACTTGTTGGACCACTTGCCAAAATAGTATGGGATGAACTTGTCAAAGTTCTCTCTTCCAACGAGACGGTCGAGACTCCAGACGAAGTGGAAACCCTTCTCGTAGGGAACCGTGCTGAAGGCATCATCGGGGTCGATACCCTTGTGGCTGATGCAGAGCTTTGTAAACTCGTGATCCTCTCCGTACTCCTTGATGGCCTCCTCTGTAAGACATTTGTTAGTGAGGACCTCCTACTTGAGGAGGGAGAGAGGAGAGGGGGGTTTCTGGTCTGTGTCATTAATTCTTACCAAGCGCCTTCCAGCCCCTGATGGCCGAAAAGTCAAAGTGGGCATCGCCGCCGTGAATGGAGGCAAGAATACGGCGCTCGAGATACATGGTCCATCCTTCATTCAACCAGCTGACCAGATGTTAGCAATTACCGGTGATTAATTGATCAACGACCTGCAACTTACAAGTGCTCCCAGCTGCAACTGGTAACTAGGTTTCCACTCCAGCTGTGCGCGAGCTCGTGGGCAATAACGTCAATGTTTTGCTTGTCGCCACTGATGATGGTAGGGGTAGCAAAGGTGAAGATGGGGTTCTCCATGCCTATGGAAGGAGGCACATTGTCAGCGTTCACATTATATTTCATTCTCGTTATTTCGCTTTTTTGCACTCACCTCCATAAGGGAAGCTAGGGGGCAGGACGAGAACATTGTACTCGCCCCACCTGTAGGGAAACACAATCTTCTCTGCAGCCTCCAGGAACTTGTCCATATCACCCTCCAGCTCCCATTGAGACGCCTTCAGCTCGTTGGGGCCGGTGCAAACACAAGAGCGCTTGCCGACAGGGGCGCTGGCAATCTCTCCAGACGAGAGGGCGAACAGATAGGACGGGATGGGCACCTTTTGCTGGAACTTGTACAGCTTCTCCTCGCCCAAATCCTTGGTCTCATCAGGCACGGGCACACCACTGGCTACAACAACGTAGGGACTGGTGATGTTGAAGTCGTAGGTGCTTTTGACGTCTGGAGTGTCCTGGCAGGGAAAGAGCGAGCGGGCGTGGATGGCCTGGCACTGGCTGAACATGAAGGGGGCCGCCTTGTTGCTGGTCTGAGCCGGAGTGAGCCACTGCAGGGCAGTGCACTTGTCCGTGGTGGCAAGCTCAATCTCAATCTTGACGACCTCGCCCTTGGCGGCACCCTCGGGGACGGCGATGTGGACGGGGGAGCCGTTGGGTTCGGTGCGGGCCTTGGTCTCCCATAACGAGGAGGCCGAGTTGAGCTTGACGGAGTTCACGGTAACATAGCTGGAGTCAAGAACGATCTCCTTGCTGGCCTTATCCGTCTGAGACTCGAGCTCGAGGATAACGGAGCCGCGTAGACACTTGGCTGTGAAGTCGATCTTGAGGTTGGCCGTGGTGTGACGAGTCCTCCAAGCATCATAGTTGGACAGGGTGTTGGGGTCGCGAACGGGAGCCATGTTTGCGGTGCTACATCCAAACCAACGGCCACGCTGATAGTGAGAGTGAAGGAGATTGGGGGGCGCTGCTGATGCTGCTGATAGCAGTGATCGTGATGACGACGAGGATGGTGACAGTTGAGCAAACCTGGCCCTTTGAAGAAAACCTCTACCCCACATCAAGACTGCCTCGGGGACTCTGACCAAATTTTTTGTTGCAATTATTCCCGTTACGTATTGTGCACCAGCTGTGGTACTACCTGGTAATCTCAGCTCTCAATTCGCACATATTTTATCACACAGAACCGCTCTTACCCTCACCTTCCTTCACGCCTTCCTTCTTGGTCGTAAGGTGTGGAATGACATCAGCAGATAGGATAATAGGGCAGCTACCTCTATGTCAATGCGGAGACAAACGCATTTCCTATCGCCATAGTGCTATAGCTTGAGCTTTGACCACTTTAGCTCCCTGCTTGCACTATCTAGAGCGAACAACCGACGTCTCCATCTCGCTCCACTCAACTGGGAGAAGCTTGACTTACACTACACCCAACCGCCCGACTGATGGACTTCAGCACCAATCAACCACCGTCAGGGCAACTCACCTTTGCGCCTTCACTGTCAATCCTCAAGTATACCCATGTTGTTCTCATGTATAGACGTACGTATGGCCTTTCTACGGCCATCAGAAGGTTTTTGTGGTTCAGAATAGAAGAGCAGCCACAGCAGGGCGGGCTCCTTTTTGTGTTCCCCGTCCTCCAACAAACCGAAAAGTGGACTCGATGGCAGTTTGGATCCAGCCCATTGGTTTTACTCAACTTGACAAATGTTCCCTCACGGCGAGAGTACAGTAGAAGGTCGAATTATATCAGGTAACTTGAAGCATCGCAGGATCACATATTATACACCCCGCATCATCAGTCCGTTTGTATGATCCGGCAGGGTGATTAAACGTCCCAGTGATGTTTGTTTCTGCAATCCAAGATGTTTCCGTTCCGCTGAAAGGAACCCGAACAGTACATAGGCTCCAATAAGGCCAAAATGGACTTACCTGCCCAAAAAGATGAATTGCCGACATACCAACCAGGATCACAATGGTATGTTTCCGGGCAATGTCGTTTTGTTACTCGCTGCGCAAATATTGCTGTAGGTCGTCAGGTTGAGACATGGTGATCCAGGCCACGAAACGAAACAGCTCGTGTGAAGTACAGATAGGAGGTGGTATCAACCAGGAAGGAGGAAGTTTTACTATTTGGGACCTGCAGGTGATAACACAACTATTATATACCATTAATATATGCCGGTATTCCCTATATCATCACACATCCCTCCCCCCCTGTTGCTGCATCCTCATAGCATAGGCGAGCAAAATGTAGTTTCCGGTATCATTGTGGCGTGGTCAGATGCGGGCATACCTGAGATGTGATATAGGCAAATCTGGGTGATGAACTCGCACGCCGATGTCGGTGTTGCTGGCTGCTAGTTGTCGAGTCCTGGGGCTATCAAGAACCTGTGAAGCCCATATCATTCTCTCTTGTTGATACGGACAGCAGCATAGCCCGTCCGGCTCACTACCTTAATCTTGAAGTGCCCCCAGCCGCGGAAAGTGTCCGCATCATAGCGCTTCGGTTTCCGCAAAGGTTCACGTTCATCCTCCCGTTTAACCGGCAGTTATACCTTTCCGCTGAAACCGCAGATGAACTTGGTTTTAAGCCGCAAAGAGATCGACATCTTGATTCTGGATTGGGAGTATTCGGTACTCGTCGCACTGAAAGCTACATTGGACGATGCTGTATTTGGATTTAGCGAATCAGACTTGCATTTTGATGAAACAATGGTTTGAAGCCGCGCTTTCCTGGCAACGTGTTGGATGTAGATGACTGTCATGTGGACGATGACATCGCCTGCTCAACCTTTCAGTCCTCCCCAAACGAGTGTGCATATTTGTTCATACCAGATTGCTTGATACAAATCACCGATGGTATACTTTAATGATCATGCGAATTCATGTTCATCATTTTTGCATATTCGCCAGGCCACCTGGTCCCTGAGGCCACCTAATATACAATCTCGGAGTGACAGGAAGCCGTCGGCAGTGGTAAGGTAAGAAGAGAGGATCGCTGCAGTTAGTATCTACTCAACGGCGAAAGGGGCAGCAGGGGATTCATCAAGGGCGAGACCGGAAAGCTACCTCTCCGGACTCATATGACTAAAGGAGCCGAGCAGACAGTCTTTGGCCTTGATAATTGATGCAACGTGGAACCTTTCGGGTCTTGGAGAGGTCATGAACGGGGTGATATCCGAGCCAAGTGGTAGCAGCTAGGCCTAGCTATGCTCGTGGATTAGGTAGCAGTCGAGGGGCTGCAGTTTAATTCAACAAGTGGTTGTTTGGCAGGTAAAAACAGTCGAAGGTTATTGAGTACGGTTCTGGATTGGGAGCGATGCTAGTGATGACCTCGGCAGACCTTCACTTGTGAGCCGATCTCCGCGTACACGAGAAATACGGGCAATGGGATCAGAACAGGCGAGCTGGCGAGGACGCTCGGAAGGCGGCGCTGGTGGTTGTAAATCAGTGGTCCTATGTGACGGTGCCTGGCCTAGATTCCGGGGCTCTATCACTAGCATGAGCAAAGAAGATTCGGCAACTCGCTTAAGACCAGACCCCTGAAAGATTTACAAACTATTCAGAAGGACTAACCGGTTTTGTGCAGGTGTCCGTCTGGGCAGCCCGTTGTTGGCGGGAGGGGTGGGGCGGGGCCGTTGAGGTTCCTCGGGTGCAAGTGTTGTCAAAGGAGTCTTCCGGAGGAAGAGGAGAAGACCGAGGAAGAGACCGTGATGTGTCAGACATTATGTGACCACTACACCAAACACCCCAAGAATGGAGCTCCGTCAGAGATGTCGGGGTAGTGGCAGATTGGGACCCTCCTAGATTCATTCGACATGATACTGGTTCGCGCCGGCGTCTCAGGTTGGATCTGGGGTATATTAACTGTAACCCAAAGTGCAAGATCCGGAAGGAGAGCGACGTGAGGTACCCAAAGGGGCCACATCTCGACCTGACCTTTTTGTTTTTTTTTTTGTCACATGGAGGGGCAAAACGTCGGTGCGCACGCTAGCAATTTGGCTGACAGCATCTTGATCTGAATAAATGGATCATGGAGCCAAAGAACGATGACATGCAGAAACCGTGCTGAACTGTTCAGGGATGGATCAGGGTCGCCGTCGTTTGTGGATTCCGCATGTTGTTGAGCTTGAACTGAAGCAGATGAGAATTTGGAGGTTGGAGAGCAACCGATGTGCTTCATAGGGTTAGGGTTTTGACATCAAACCTAGCGAGCGTATCCACTCGGGCCTTGTGTGGGCTGGAGCTGAACGGCCGAGGTTTCAGTTTGTTTGTTTCACCAGGGCAAATTTCTGTTCCGCTGTTTCTACACTTGCTCTCATGCCTCCTTCCATCACCCTTCCTTCTGTTTTCTTCATTCTTCATCTTCTTCCTCCTCCAACAATCGTAGCTGCGCCCCCTTCCCCTCCCCACCACCAACTTCGAGTCGGTCACGAGGTTAAAGAGGATTGTTGCATCTATGTAGAACTTCCACTTTGACCGTCTTTCCCTGGCATGGGAATCTCGTCCGCAACGGCTTCGGTTTAGTTGCCACTTCGATCATGCCTTTCCACTGCTGCCTTGATTTCGCCCGAAGTCAACTCGCGCTTTGTCGGGAGCTTCATGCGTGCCACGAGCTTGCCACGAGGTGTTCATGCTTTGGTCTCGTCTGATGTTTCGCCATTATGTAGGTCAGCTCCAAGGGTCTTCCCCAGCCACTCCTGGGCTGCTGTCTGTCACAATCATCATGGAGCCCGCGATATCGACCATGTGAGCATCCAACTAGAGCTCGCTCGACTGGGGACGGTGCATTGGGCTCCCCAACAGTCGTCGTCGACATGTCCGTACAACTGCATACGGGATGGCTCCCCGCTTTTCGCTTCTTTTACCTCTGCTCTTCCCGTCAGTTGTTTTGGGGTCGGGATGGAGGACTCGTTCATCTAGAAAGGCCCGGCCGATGAAAGGGACTATCAACGTCACGCTTCAGGGAAACCGAGGTCAACCTAGAGGTATGTACCACAGACCTCCTTCATTACCCATCTCCGCGGTCATTGGCTGGACGACAGGGGCCTTCGGTTGAGAGTGACATCGCCCGAGCCGGTTATTGCGACTTTGTAATCGGTTCCTGCGGCTGTGTGGGGCCATGTATATGTACACTGTCATCAACACTGAACAGAGACGCCAGGACTCGACTTGCAAGCTTGCTCGAGGCTTGATACATAGTGTACACTACTATTATTAGTCTACGTTGCCAAAGTCGCGACAACCATCATTACCAGTCATCGTTTTTGAACCGCGACAACGAAAGCTTGAAAACACTTCTTTTCAGGCGGAAAACTCACATACATATGCGGAGAGCTCTCACCGGCTGCCTACACCCCTATGGTAGAACTAACCTTAACGCCTAATACTAACCGCTGATACACTACTAACAACTAATGTGGGTTGCGGGAGATGACTTATACCTTTGCTCCATACGGTCGCAACAACCGGCTCGATATCGCCGTCATAGCGACGCCGAACATAGTCAAAGCATCGATGCTAACAGCGTCCGATCCCCCCTTGCCAGTACCACGGTGACGGATGGTTACCCCATGCTTTTGGGGAGAAAACCCCCTGGTAATAAATGCATACCATTCGGAGCGGAGTGTCTCCAGAGAGTATGTACGTACTGGAGATGAACAGGCCTAGAGGCCAATGGCGAACTCATGAAAGGAAGGTCCAAGCGGCGGCTTCAATCCGTCATCCCCCGGTTCTTTTGTTTCTTTTCCTGTCAGAATAACCTCCTGCTTTGGTTCTCCTTCCAGCCCTTCTACCCCGGCCTTGCCTGCATACTCTGTTGCACTCCAAGTCACTACCGCAGCATCGCGTACCCACCTGCATGCTTCACCTGTGCTGAGATTAGACGACGGAACTCTCGGTCTCATACCTGTTGAGGGCCCGAGTCTCGGCTGTCGTCTTCGTGTCGCACGTTTCGACAGCACTTGTTTCTCTCCACTGAATACTGGTCTACTCAGTACTGGAGAACCACCATTCGAAGACTCGTGCCTGGATGATGGATCTGCTCCCATGCTCCAGGTCCGGGGGCTTGTAGCTTGCGAGGGAACTAGGCCACCCTACCTAACCTTCAGGTGGGGAGTTACGATGGGAAATCTAAAGCATCTATCAGTCTCGAGGGTTGCTGCTCTATGATATACTCCCTCCTCCTAGTCGATATACCTACATGGGGTCCCGTGCTAGTCCCTTCAACCCTGTCTGGTAGCCAACCACGGTCTCGACTCAGGGCAAGGTCTGTCCTAATTCCAGTCTACGTGCATGACTTATATACCATCCATTGTACCCCTAGCCCGTCATCACTGTGAAGAGCGTTGTTTGTTCCTTGGCCTCATCCAGCTTTCTGTACATCTGGTTGGTCTCACGAGTTTGGTCATTTATCTCTAACACGGCTCGAACGACCCGTCCGACTCATGGCTCATATTGTTAGCTGTATGCTGGACTCCGACTCCGAGGATTTCAGCCTTTACCTCAACAACTACATAGCAAAGGAAGTCACTCCACAATCATCCAATGAATCGGTACGTCACTCCGGGCCCACAAGATCAAGCGAAAAGCCGGCCAATGCTTACTTACACATTTATCCAAACTACAGTTAGGTCGAGCTTCGCCGTCAGGGGATAAACCGTTTACTTGGAGGATGTTTCACCCAGAAAAAAGATATCAGCAGTGCTCCAAAGACACGCAGTCGACAGTCTCTGAGAAGTCAGTTGACCCAGAGCAGTTCTCTGTCCTGAACATGGGACCAAACAGCGAGATTGGTGGAAGGTCCAATGCTGGATTTGGTTTGAGAATACAAGTAAAGGAGCAGAACCTTACTAGCAGGCGGAAAGTGAGCGTGCCTGAACTTGGCCCAATGACGACCGTCCAAGAGGCAGCCATGGATTCCCGTATGTTTACCCTAGATGGAATTTTTTTTTTTTTTTCATTCATGCTGACAAGTGGTCCCAGCCACCATTCCCGGCCGTCCGGCTCTCCATGAACGTTCAATTAGTGCCCCAGGCCTTCCATCAAGACCTAATCAGGGTAAGGGGCCATTCAAGGATCGAGTGCCCATTGAGCGAGCGCAGCCTGATGCCGCCCGCCAATGTATTAATCGAAGCCAACGAGTTCAGAACGAGGCTAGACAGCCTTTTTCGCCCAGGAATCTCACTCCTCTTGTGATTCCGACGCTTAGCTCTGCCACCCAAAGACTCCACCAGAAGACGTCAAGCAGCCGTCTCCGAGCAGGTACCGCGCCGGTAGACTCCACGATTCGGGCAGCAAAATTCGAGGGTTCTCCTAAAGCGCGGACGCCATTCACGCCCCTTTCAGCTACTTCAAGCGCCCCGAGATCTGCAGCAACAAGTGCCGGGACTGCTTCCACACTGCCAACGCCTATATCAGCATCCACCGACATCAGATCTTCGCCGATGCCATGGGATAAGGTTGACAACAATGTGCCAAAAAGCTCCATTGAATGCACACGTGGGTTCCCATTGGCACTCGAGACAGGCATCGCTGATAGCCCTCAAAATGTCTCGAACATCGGGCACAAGAGGAGTCAGTCAGAAACGGGAAGCATCATGGAACGGGGCCGACCACGGAAAAGGAGTGAGACATGCGGGGCTACCGTCTTGAACAGGTCATGCTCCAAAAGGAGTAAGAGCGCAGAACGGCGCGCATTTGAACAATTGCCAAAGGGGTGGAAGGCCAGCGATGCGGTTAAAATGCTCAAGCCTAACGAAACTGCTGCTCTACAGAAGCAGGCTCTTCAACAGGCTGCTAGGTTCGAGGTACTGCGCAAGGAAGACGTCGATAACCTCTCGAAGGTGAGCTTACCCTCGACCGCGTACTTTGGTTTGTGACTAACAGCATGTTAGGAGCTACGGCAGCTAGACGAACGGACTGAATATCTTAGACGCACCTACACATCCCTCCGTGCTGGTCGACGTAATCTACATGCTCGGATCTGCCAGTACCTTCGGTCTCCTCGCACAGCCAAGTTCAGTCAAGAGTCCATGCTGAAGCAAGAAGAGGCTCTTGCAGAGCTCGACGCTTCAATAGACGACTGGATAACCAAGCTCGATCAAGCTGAGAATCGCCGGACTCGAGTTCGGCAGAAACTTCTTGAGCATGTTGCCGCGGCCACCACACTCTCCATGACCCCTGGATCTGTGGCCGGCGTAAGCGAGAGTCTGCAGTGCGCCATGGGGATCCGCTCCTTGGGCTCTGCTACGAATGGCGCCGGTAATATCTCCACGCCTCCTCGCAGTCCAGCGAAAATGTCCTTTTCCTCTCACATCATCTCCGCATTTACACCATCTTCGCCGCCGAGAGTGGCTGCTCATGTGCCTTCCACCATTATGGAACAGCCATTCTATGAAGAGGAAGAAGCTGCGAGCGAAGAGCAAGGCGCCAGTTCTCGGCGTGCTGAAACCATCATGGTCTTTGCAGGCAGCGATGTCTCTGCCCTCTTGGCTGATGTGGAAAATGCGCTCACCCATATGGGTGGCGACGGTCTCCTTGCTGATAGGGAAAAGCGGCATACAGTCAAGGTTGAGGTATATTCTCCGGTCACAAAGGAATATCCAGTAAAGGAGGAAGAGCCGGCAGTCACAAATGAGACGCTCCCCCCCGCTCCGCCCCCCTCAGACAGCCGGCGGAAACACATACACCGCACCATGAGCATCGATATGCTCAACGGGCTTCGTGGTAAGCCTTCACTCGCCGTCGATACAGCGGAAATGCCCATACAGAGCTGCAAAGGCGGCGCCAACAGCAACAACACAACATGTCAGTCGGCTACCACAGCACGCGTTGTTAATAGCGAGGAGATCTTCCTCACTAATGCTGTCTTCCGGCCGCCACCGAAGTAGCACCGTGGCTCTTGTAGCTTCATCGCCATGTATCTCCTCGTCTTGTGGTGATGCACTCTCACATACAAACATTTGTACAAACCGACTTTTTTCCTAATGTTTAGTGTAATTTCTAGCGCTATGTCTGTCTGCGTCTCTTGACTTCATTTCTTTCTTGGTTCACAACCAAACGCTGGAGTTTATGGATGGTGGAGGGTGGGCAACGGGGAAAGTGTGGTAAACATGATATTTCAGTGTGCGACTGGCCAGGAATTACATACCCAAATGATACCCCTTTAAATAGCCGGTTACCATAGTCGATAAATGATATCTCGGGGAATTCAATAATCATGCAGATTGAGTCGTTCATGTTTCTGGCGCATGATGTTGCTATGTACTTATGATCACTATTGATGAGAACCAAGCGAACAAGTGATAACTGTTTGATGCGATATAACGTTGTCAGCACACATCATCCAATACATACGACCATAGATGGTAGAAAACTCGGGATCCCGTCCGCTCTCCCATAGATAAGCTACCAATCGCCTGACTAGTAGTTGGGTCGGTGACGACCAGCGAATCCCAGGTGTTGTATGTTTTTCTTTTTTTGTAATTTTGTAGTTTTCGATCTTTTATCTCGCTCTCTCTCTGTCATCCAGAATTACAATTCCCCGAAGTCTACACGCAATAACCTACAAATCCTATAGTTCACGCCCCAGTCCGATGTTATGTTAGAGGTATGTAGTAGCATATCGGTAGCCTTATATGTAGGCGGCCCTTTGCAACCCTCTGTCTAGCAGTGTGGCCTCCCTAGATCCTATCTCTTACCATACCCTTATCCCGTCAACCTGAACCGAGATTTCCAAGAAAAAAAACTTCTTGCGAAGTGAGTGCCCCATCACTGAACTGGTATTTCCCTAGTTTACCCGGTCAAATGTCGGAGTGTCTCACAAGATGATACGCATAAAGGTAACAGCAGATATGGCAAGTACTATTCATATTTCATTTCAAACATATAGAGGCAAAGCAAGCACATCACATTAGCTTTCTTTCAATCTAATCACGCCTACAACCTCAAATATCCACCGTTCCTTTGAGTGGTAAATTTCTACTGCCCCCCCCAATCTCGAGCACGTACTTCGCACCCTTCTTCAGCCTCCACCTCTGCCTCACCGTATCCCACAGGTCAACCTGCCCTCCCTCGCGGATTTTGCCAGTGGGGAGTTCATCCGTGTCCGCATCAGCGGCTCGCTTTACGGATAAGTTACCGTAGGAAAAAGTGGTATAGCTCAAGCCGAAGCCGAACTCGTAGCGCGGCGTGATGTTCTTGGCGTGAAAGTGACGATAGTCAAGGAAGACGCCCTCGGAGAAGTTGCTCTGGGGAAATTTGCGGAACATGCCGGCGTCAGGGAGATCGGGTCTGAAAACGGCATAGTCGGACTCGTTGCGTGCAATGGTGTAAGGAAGCTTGCCGGAGGGGTTTGAGTCGTCGTAGAGCAACGAGACGAGCGCCTTGCCCGAGGCTTCGCCGGGGAGGTGGGCGAAGATGAGGGCGGTGACGTCGAGGTGGTCAAAGAACTGGTCGACGAGGCGGATTCCAGCGTTATGGAAGATGATGATGGTATTATTGCACTGGTTGGCGACGTGCTTGATGAGCCCGTCGGTGTAGTCGTTGCGCGCGCCGGGGCGGTCGGCGCCCTCAGCTGCATAGGTGTTGCCGATGACAAGGCAGGCATCTGAGGTCGGGTTGACGGCGGGATTGCCGTTATGGAAGTCCCAGAACAGCGCGGTGTCCGTCTTCGTAGGCCCGGTGGACGATGGCTTCGAAGGGTGAGACGGCGAGCGATTGGGAGGTGGCACCGGAGCCGCCGTCGGAATAGGGCGTGCCATTGAAAGCGATGGGGGTGTTACCTACCGCGGCACTGCCAAAGAATCCGCTGGTAAACTCATCGTAGTTGAATGATTCTGCCCCGAAAACCCATGCAGATGAACCAATCGTTGGACCATTGTGGTCGGGGTTCTTGGCGGAGTATCCGAAGACAGATAACAATACGGGGCTGCTCAAGGGCAAGGCGCTACGCGTGTTTTTCACGAGGACATGACCCTCAACCGCACCGTCAAATAACGTGGAGCGGAAGGTCGAGTTTTTGGCGTCAACTATCATGTGAGGTTTCGTAATGTCACTAACCATGCCGATACCGGGTGTAGAAAAGTCCGTGTCCTGGCCCATCTTATACCAAGATGCCATGATCCTAATTACCATGTCGTCTACTCTGGATTCAGAAACAGAACCGTTCTTCACCGCATCCACAAGCTTAAATCCCCAGAAATTATCCCCTTCCGGCATGGTCATATCTAGTTCCGCCAAAGCCGTGGCAACACCGGCGTGCTGGGCACTCCAGTCAGAGACCACAAAACCCTCGAAACCTAGTTCTGTCTTGAGCAGGCCGTTGAGGGACTTGCTGTTCGCGCAGCCATATGAGTTGTTCAGCCGGTTATATGAACACATGATGTTACCTGTACCGGCGCGGAGGGAATCCTGGAAAGGCCAGAGATAGAACTCATGCATTGTTTTGTCGTCAATATTCAATGATACCGACTCCATGCCGTTGGCAGACATTCGGTATGATTATTGTTCGTTAGCGATATAATGCTAGTCTGATATTAGCGGCCTGTTAGAGGTCGCTTCTTAAGTATGGGGACGTTAACTTGCCTTGACGCTGGTGATGACACCAACGTTTTGAATTGCCTCAACGGTTTTGTACACAAGAGCCCCTGCCAGATATGGATCGGAAGAGAAACCTAGTCCACAATTATCAACACTCAGCCCTTCCTGTGGGTTACTGACAGTAAGTGACAAACCTTCCCAGTTGCGGCCACTTAGTACCACACGGCCCATAGGCCCAACAACGGGCACAAGGAGCACATTCACTCCTTTCTTGTTGAACTCGCTGCCCATGCCGGTCCCTCGCTGGTATGCGAGCGACTTGTTCCAGCTCGCACCAACATGGATACCGCTCGACCAACTGCTGACAGAATCGGTATTTCTTAGGCCGTTTCCGGCATCGCTTAGGCACATTCCGGGGAAACTTATACGGGATATAGGCCGAATGAAGCCAGAGCAACTCGTGTTAGATTGGAGGCCGGTCGTTAGATGGACCTGTGTGGTGGCGCATATGTCAGAAATGTAATCCGAAAGAAGCTCAATAACACTGCCATCGCAACATATGGCAGCCAGTACCTTCTCATCAAGTGTCATTCGACCAACTTGTTCCCTGGCCTTCTTATACGAGGATGCCCAAGCTCCAGTGCCGGCCATGTTTGCTAGTGGCAAATCAGCCTTCTGTCTTCAACGGTGAACCCGTGCATAAAACCGGTTTCGAGATGAAGCCTGCGTACGTACGTGAAGGATAGACCGGTGGTGACTGGCCATAGAAATGTTCGTCACTGGTGATCGAATATCCTGAGTTACCTGCCCCACCTCCCGCCTCGGCTGTGCCCTTGTTCCCTTTCTTTGGTAGAGCCGCCAGTCCTGCTAAACCTGCACCGACAATGACGAGGATGACCGCCACGATCATGGCAATCCCGCGCTTCGTCCTAAGGAAAGGGAAGTGGCGTGTAATCCATGAGACGCCTCCTGATTTGGCGTCCAGCGGAGGTGAACCCCTAGACAAGGAAATGCCAGAAACATGCTCGCCGGTAGAAGCGGCAGCATTTACCTTTTGATTTTCTGCACTTGCCATGTTGACAGTTGATGTCGAGGTGGTGTTAGCTCGCCATACCCTTTGAACACTCTTGATCGTCACTCCTTCCGAATAGTGAAGAACCGATTCCAAGTTTACTTCATGGTGAGATTCGGTGGAATGAACTCCTATTCCATCTTCAACTTCTCAAGTCTTTGAAATCGGTATCCGAAGGAGTCCAGCGCGTTCAAGACAAACTCAGCTGGCCCCGACAAGAATTCGATTGGTTTTTCTTGAGCAGTACTGCTTTATGCTGAAACACTCCTCGGTGGATTCCGTATGTTCGATACGATCGTCCTCGTTTCAGGTTGCCGACAATCGCTAAAGATATAAACAGAAGAGGGGAGGTTGTCAGAGACAGGTTGCAAACAGATGGCGTTGACGATATCAAAGAATTGCCAAACGAGCGCCGAAATAAACGAGCTATTTCGAAAACGAAAGAACTCCAATAATGGCTAGGTTTCACAGGTTCGAGAAAGTTGAGGCCGGTGGTCCCAACCGGAAACCTTCTCCGTGTTGTCATGGAGCGATGAACAGTCGTCGTCAACTCGTTGGCCGGAGACCGAGTCGGGACCCCGTAAACCGAATGCGTTTAACGCAGGTTTAGCTTGAGCCCACGCGGGGGGACTGTAATCGGGCGTCGTATGTAATGAGTTTATGCGGAGGAGAAGAGCCCACATTTCCTAATGGCCCAATTCGCGATGGTCCCCATGGTGCAGCCTCTTCAGAGCGCGCCGTCTAAGGAGCCCCGGCCGCGCTTGCAGTGGCCTCGGCTGGTATAATGCCCGGGAGTGTCAGGTGTAGAGGTAGCCCGCCGGTGCAAACAGCTCCCGTGCCGCTACACCAATGGATGCCCGGTCTTGACAGGTACTTCGAGAGGCACCTAGAGGTAACTTCTATCTATCAAATAGGTAAGGTACCTATTGGACGCAGCTTTCCATGTATTGATGTCCAATGGCAGCCTTCAACTGTTATGGTAACTTTCTGCAACGCGCAAACAGTTCTTTAGGTTTCGTGAATGACAGCACCAACAGCCAATAGGAACCTCTCAGTCCTCACTGAGGTCCTTCATGTCGTGCACGGATGCTGGACCGATTGCTATCCCATCGATGCCATTCGAGGTCAGCCTCAAGGTGCGTGCAGACACCGAGGTGCCCTGAATCCGTCCTGTCCCTGCAGCAGCGGGCCCGTGGCGTCCTCCCACGCGATGCAGGGATGGGGCCAAGCAAGGGAAACTCCAGGGGCATGCAGAAATCAAGTACCTTACGAACCGATCGGTTCGAACTCTACAACCATTCGAAGATTCCCAACATCAGGATATGTTGGGATGAACGGGGATAGCGTGAAATACGAAACCAACCGACTACTACCGCACCCGCCTTGGGAAAATCGTAGTTGGATGTGGGACAGGTCGAATGACGTAACGGAAGTACCACTTGCATATGTCAGTAGAGGTAGGTAGGTACTATGGGAACCCTGATACCTGACCTGGAAGCTGTTTGCTTTTGACAAAGAAGGGGAGTTCCCAAAAAGAAAGAGAAATCTAGGTAGCGAGCACGAGCGAAGGAAAAGCACAGTGACGGGTTCAATTGGATATGGTCTGAGCAGCACCACAACAATTCCCGTATGAAGACGAACGATACGCGGATCGTCCAGCGCAATGAATGGGAATGGCGACATTGACCCACTTCCGGCCGAATGAAACGCTTCGTGATTGTGGGTACCTCGTCAGTTTGATGGATGTCAAGTCTGGTTGTTCCCCACAACGCCAGCCATGTGTCTTTTTAACTTTTCACCTTTTTCTTTGCATTATTGTACACTAGTGTTCTGTATGCTACACTACAGTATTTTCTCTCTCCACACCACAAACCGGGCATGAGGCGAACTGGGGTTCGTCTAAAGTCTGAACGTTCCGCAACTGCCACGTGCTTTTTGTGCTGCGTTGCACCAAGGAAAGTGTGGGCAACGTGGGCGGTTTGAAGAGTGAAATCAGTCCCAACTAAAGTGTTGCCGAGTTGGTTCCGCATCTACTACCTAGCGGAAGGGAGCAGTAGCTGTCTACACTACAACCAAAACACCGACGTACACATGTATCAATCACAGTGAATCGGATAGGTCACGTCTAAGTATATCTGAGACAAGGAAACTACAGGACAGGCTAAACAACCCATGAATCTCGATCAATCATTGTACATACGCGAACAGTCCTACAGGGTACAGTACACTCGGCTCGCTCGCTATCACCGGGTCCATCACAATTCTCTAGACACAGTAACAATGACCTTCGCACCAAAATTGCCAATACGACATTGCATTGCACCTTCAAACCTCGGCCATGCTGCCGAGCCAAAGAATCGTGCAGCTTCTCATTTGTTAGCGTTGATGGTTTAAGGTACCTTGAGCCTCTGTCTTGTTAGACAGCCGACGGGGTTCGGGGCGGAAACAGTGTTATGACTTGTTCAATGGGACTGCAACTCAAATGTGATTCTCTTTTTTGATTCGTTTCTGTCTGACCTCCACATCATCATCGAGAATAGCTCTTTTGTGCTCAATGAACGTCTCTCTGTAGAGAACGCTGGGATACGCGACCAACGTGAGGGAGAGGTGATTGATTCGTTATGTCATCTCCAAGTCCCAGTCATCCAATCCCCCTTCCGTTCATCCCTCCACAAACCCACACGAAAAGCTCTTCGGGTATATCCAATCCGAATCAAGCTGACGAACAAAGACAACTAAAGATGTAGCGACGAACTTCCTCTGTCCAATCTGAGAACGTGTTTCCCTGGGTCGTAAGCGGAGCCAAGGAGAAAGGACATCTGCCATCAGCCGCTACAAGGTCCGTGACGAAATAAACAAAATGATCTTTGCAAAAACAAATGCCGCCGTACCCCCCACGGGAGCCACGATCTGCTATAGGGCAAACAAGGCGAACGAAGAAAAGGATAAAGAAATGGCCCAGAAATGCTGACCACCCAAGCCGCAAGAGTCGCTTGTGCAATGTCGAACAAGGAAAAATCAAGATGGATCCAAAATGACAAAGGGCCAGGGTTTGATGGAAAGGGGTCATAGAATAGTGAGAGATCCGCAACATCCGGGATATAAAGTGCAAATGTAGTGAGCGAGAAGCTGGCAAAATACAGGTAAACGGAACGCCGGTATGTGGTCTAGAAGCGGAAGTGCTCGGAGGGTTCTGGGTCGGTAAAAATGCAAGGGAAATGCAACGCGTGGTCCTCGCCTCCGGAGTATCTGGCCACAACAGAAGCACTGTAGGTTTAGACCATATTCACAATGAGGTCGACCGTACAGATGAGATGACTCGTGAAGAGGAAGGGAAGTTGATACATCCACAACCAGCAATTTGCTGGTTCACTTCACCGGGCGCGGTGCTTCGGAAGCAAATGAATCGGATGTGCAAGCCCATCATTATATGAATATCCCCTTACAGGATAAGTTGTTTCAGGTTCCGCTGGATGATCATGTCCTGCACGGAACCCATGGTTATCTTCAGAAGATTGGTATCGGTCGCATTTGTGAAATGCCCATAGATCTCCTTGTCCGGATTCCGGTTCAGCGCGCGGAACTTGTCCATAAAGTACTTGCTGGCCTGCTTAGAATCGTCCGGGGGACCATGATAATCAGTGAAACCGTGGTTCGTTATCGGGCTTCGGGGCAGCTTCTCCTTGAAAAGGTCGATCTTGTTGAGGAACAGGATCAAGGCCGATTTTGTGAACCAGTGAGAATTGGCGATCGATTCCCAGAGCATGAGGGCCTCGTTCATTTGGTTCTGCGCAAAGGTTAGCCTCCACCTTCTCAACAACATGCGGGACTTAGACGTACCCCATCCTTGTCTTCAACCAGGCACTGATCGTAACCTGAGATAGCTACTAAAAACAGCAAGCAGTTGACGTTCTCAAAGCAGTGAATCCACTTCTTCCGCTCCGACCGCTGGCCACCGACGTCAAACATACGGTATGTGAGTTGGCCCAAGTCGAAAACAGTCTCGGTGATACCAGTCGTTCGTAGCCTCGAGCGCAGCAAATCCTGGTCGCTAGGAACATAGTTCCTGTCCCATAGTCTGTCCAGATCCGAGCAGAAGCTGGATGAGAGGTTAGCGAGATGCAGAAACGCGGAGAGTGGATTGCGAACACATACTACTGAAGGTTGTCATGCAACGCAAACTCATTGCCCTTCTCGATAGCTTGCCTGACGCCTGAATCCTGCCATAGCTTCTTCGCTGGCTCGAAATATTCTAGTGGTAGAGGCTCGTCTCCCCTCATCTCGTAATCGACCATCATTTGTACCATGTTCTTCTGTAAGTACTCAAGTTAGTTGAAGAACCGCAGATATCGAGGTCCACTGAATCAAACTTGCCTCATTATCTTCATCCTCCAGCTTGATGTTGAATTCATTCATCGCATCAAAGATCAATCGGAACGACTGTAGAATGTTGGCGAAAATAACAGGCCTCCATTCCAGCTTCTCATTTTTGCTGAAACCTTGTGCATAGATCAACTTCATCTGCTTCAAAATCGTAGACTTTCCGGATTCACCAGCTCCTATTGATGCCAAATGTTAGAGTCGCCTTGGTCGCATACGCGCGCAATGGTCGCAGTGCAGGGTCTAGTAACAACTGGAGATCCGTACCTAGCAGCAACAGCTTCACCTCCTTCGACAGGCGCTTCTCATCCGCGCGGATCTGCTTGTCTAGCTCGCGCGACCGGGAGGCCTCAGCCTCATCGTCCTTTCCACGACCCCCGAAACACATCTTAATGGTATATGTGTTGAATCCGTGTTGCAGAGGCGGAATGACTTTCCAGAGGATCGGGAAAGATCCAAGTTACCCAGCAAGTGAGACTTTCTATCGCTTTTTAGTCGTTTCAGGCGGAGCGCTGGCTAATAGTACAGCGGGGATTCGCCTGCACGCGGACCGACAGCGATAGTGGGGGCCGCAATGATGAGAGATGCGTAGGTATGGATGGAGACCTGGAATGCCAGACCTGGTGAGATCCTGATCGGCAATGCGCAATCAACTGTCCGGGCACTCTTGTCTTTGTTCAGGCCGGCGATGACAGCTATAACAGCATGTGTCGTTAGGTCGAATCGCTTCTCGATTATGTCGAGGCCCAGTCAGTGGACGATGCTGGAATCGATCGTTATGTATGTATTCGGTCGGTGGCTTGGCTTCGACAGACGGGTAAGTAGGCTTGCGTTTAGCAGCGGCAGCTCCTAGTCTTGAGGCGTCCGGGTTCGAACAAAATCGATACCGCGGTTGTTCTCGTGGGAAAAGCGTGGACGAGATGATAGTACAAAGAGACCAACGCAGATCAGACCGTTAAGGTAGAAACGGGAGTAGAAAAAGGGTGCGCGTGGGTGGGAAGGGGGAGGGAAAATAAGAAAAGCTGGGCAAAGACAAAAGAGGATGTAAGCGGCTTCCATGTATGTACATCACAGTAGCATCGACAACAATTGCAAGGGAGTGAGCTCTGCAGCGAGATAAAGCAGGCCGGACTAGTGAAATCACCGCAATGCAGAAATGACAGGGCCGCTCGTGAACCAGGGACAAGCGACGATGTACATAGCGTACCAGGGTTTGTGTAGCAATGGAGACAGGGACGATCACACCATCGTCGGAGATCAAAAAAAGCATGGGCGGGCGGGCAGGCGGGCAACGACCTAACGGCGACGGACGGAACAAGGGAACGAAGCATGGGCAAGGCCGGAAACAGGAGGGCAAGCACTCCAGACGAGTCTTACAACCCGGTTTTACCTACCTCTACTGTAATAGTAAGGTACATAGGGTACCTCTACCTAGGTACCTACCTCTAGTCTAGGGTATCAGTTCTAGAGGTCTCTTTTCCACTCGGTTAGGTCCTTGTTGCCTCCAACTTCAGCCTCTGAACATGGAACTAAGCAGTGAATGGGTGCCAGAGTGTGACAGACAAGCGAGTGTGGTGGGAGCCAACCCACCTGCACACAAGGCAGTTCCGTCGCTCCTGCCACTCGCTCATGCCGCCCTAGCTCCCTAAAAGTACCCTACCACCTACCTTGGTTCCATTTCTGGCCCACTGCCGCTCTAATCCAAATTCCCCGTCCGGGTCGCCCCTGCCCATTCCACCATGCGGGCGACCGTGCCTGCCTGATGAAGAAAGGTGCAGTGCGCGAGTGCCTTCCATGCCTTGAGGTTGCTTGGGCCAGTGTCACTCCCGTTTCGGCAGTGCCCAGGGCACCTGGTGGCTGTGCAGTTACCTCTAATGTAAGGAATCTCAGGAATAGTCTCGATGTGGGTATTTTTTGCGCATCATACCTACCTCTAGGGAAGTGAAGACTGATCGATGCAATTTAGATGCCCAATCCTCAATATTAGGTACCTTTCAAAAAGAAGGCCATGCACTACCGATCTTGACAAGATCATACTATGCGTCACCAGGCTGGAGAGTGGAAGTTCACTTCTGTGAACGACACTGCAGGACCTCTGACGCGGGCGTTCAGGCATGGGAGGCAGGGGGCGTACCGGCAGATACACATGGTTGGACCCCGACCACGGCCACCCTGCATATCGGGCACTCGTGGCTTCGCTCTTCTGCAGCAAAACCACCTCAGGCACGTTGTGAGACTTCAAGAAATTGCCATGTCCTAACTGAAGAACTGAGAGAATACTTACAGCACTTGGTCGGGTCGCTTTTGGTATGACCATGACGCTAAAAGGCTCATCCGGGCATGGAACTGGCAATTGACCAAAGTGGAATTTTTCTTCGATGCCGTCCGCTGTTTCGAAGTCCCTTGTTGCCCATGTCCGCACATGCGCCATCACCACCACGCACAAGGGAGCCAGGGGGGCCACTCGAGGTAAGGATGCACAATACTAACCAAAGAAAGCCGTCCCGAGAGTGAGGACGACGACGAGAAACGAGCACACCACAGTCACCCGATGAACGGCGTGGACGGATTCGTCACCGTTTTCTGGGATTCACCTGGCTAAAAGCTTCCAACCACATGGTCCCGAAACATCGGAAGTAGATCGCACCCATAATCAGACATCTTGGCCGCCCGAAGACGAAGACGATAAATAGAAAGCCAAATGGTAGTCGGAAGACATCAACGCATCAGAGCAAGAGCTCAAGTTCTAACGTACACTACTGAGACAACTGCAGAAACGAATCCGACCTGCACAGTGTGAAATGGATAGATATTCTCCTTTCTCATTTTCTCAAACCACGGACTGCTGCCAAGCATCCAATAACTCCGGGTAATGGTCATCGGCACTTGGAATGGCAGTGATGGATCAGAAAGTTTCCACTCGTGGAAGCGAGCGTTTTCCATCTTTTCTGACGGGAGATGACGGTGGCGATTCTAACAGGTACACTACACTGCGCAATCGGTCGTCCAGAGGTGGGAGATGAACTTGGAGGTTGATACAACTGAAACACTGCGACCCTCCCGCCGCCCGCCTTGCTAGAATCTGCGAGTGTGTGTTCAGGGCAGTCTCATGAGGGCATATCCAGATGCTCATCTCGTTGTGGCAGACATAGTGTATAAGCTGAGTATGAAGCCCATTCGAGCTGTCATGGCCCGCTCAATCACCACAGTACCTACCTAGAGCTTGTTCGAGGCCATGGCTGGTAAGGGGTACGCTGCCCGAGGGACCTATACACTACTGTAGACCATCTCCAACGCTCCACGATGACTAAGGGAATCCTCAAAGCCCTGGCCAACTTTGCTCATCCGTATATCCCGACATCTTGGAAATTGCATCGCCTCTTACCCGCATTCATTATCCAGATTTTCTCCGATCTCCCCTTTCTTCCCCAGCTGAATAATCCAGCCTCACAGAATTAGTGTAGTGTACACAAAACTTGATCTTTTTCCCCTGAGTTGGTCCCTGCGGTCCTGTCGCAGACCCTGAGCTTAAACTGGTTTGACTGCGCGAGTCGGGGGCGCCCTGACGACAAACTCAAGCTGGTGGAGCGTCGCATGGCCTCCAACCAATAGCGTTTTCTGGACCCTTCCAACATCTCCCCGGTGGGAGGTGGGGGGCGGCTTGTCCTCGTGAAGAGCAAGCGAGGGCTTCGCGGATTGCGGCTGGTTCACAGGAATCAATAGCACCGGATTTATTAAGCTTGCAGCACAGTGTCAAAATGACTGCAAACGACTGGCAACTCATTCTTTTTCGGGCTTGACTCCCGGCTCGCCTTCGTCTCCAAAACATAAAGGCAGGCCGAACCACTATCGGGTCGCTCTTGGCCCTGTTTTGGGGTCATGTGAGGGCGAGAGCCAGGCAACAAAGCGTAAGAACCTTCTTGAGCCCAGGGGCTTTCGCTTCTCTATCCGTACCTATCGAGATGTAATGTCTCAGTTTATCTTGGGCCTAGTCGGTCTCAATGATAGGCAAATTTACCGGGCAGTTGCTGGGCGGTAACAGAGCTCCAAAGAAACAAAAGAAGCAAACATGGTCGATGGGCGGTTGATGAAAACAGTTACCCATCTCAGAATGTTCACAGAAACTCCAGGTCTCGGACCTTTACAGTAGAAGGGATGTGCTGCACGAGAAAAAAAAACATCCAGGACCAAATCAACAACGAACTGCAAATAGGGGACATTGCCGTCTCTTTCAGCAACGACTGGACTGAAGGCCGCGTGGACCCTTTTCTTAGCAGGCAAGCTTTGTTCTGGACTCATAAAGCACTTTCACCATCAAAAGAACGTTAGTCGAGACGCCAGGAAAGGTGATGATCGTCCCGGTGGTGGACATCACGGCAGTTGCGCGTACGGCGTTGCGTGTGCTAGCGGCATATGCAGGGGCAGATTGTCGAAATCACTCGCAGAGAACCTTTGTTCGAAAAGGAGGCCGGAACCGTCTCGATAAAAAACGAACAGGCAAGGCAGAACAGGTACCTCTCAACTCCCTCTTCTATAACAAGAGCCTGGCGTCTCAAAATCTTGATTACTCGAGAAATACCATCCTACTATGTACGACTGAAATGCCTCCAACAAGGAACCCACAACATGGAGCAATGGGGACATGTACAGTCGCTTTCTTGATATTGACATTCTGAGGCCCGCCACCCTGCCATTGCACTATGTAATAGCAACATGTCGTTTGGTCATCTTGAGCCTGTGAAAGCAAGACGTGCCGAGAGGAAACCATAGGAAAAATGGCATGATGCGTTGCACTCGGTTCCAGCATAATACATTATACGAACGTTCGCCGGTCCCGTCAGGTTCGGGGAATCACTTCGTTGTTCTACGTACATTAACTTGACAATGGGACCCGGACGCCGTTATATTGATCGGCATCGGTGGACCCAGGGCAACTAATAGGTGGTAGAGCCGTTGATGGCGTAATGAAAGAACACGCCTGCACACCAAGAATGTTCTACCGACCTAGGCTCGCCAGGGGACTCGGAGTAAATTGCATCCTCGGTTCGTCTTGCTGACGATTATCTAAAGAGTGCATTTTGATCTGAAGCGGGTTGGCCCGCGAAGTTCATACACTCCATATAGTGTAAACTTCAAAGACCTTTGTCGTACAAAGTGAGTACACTGTCCCGACTGCATATCTTACATTTGTCAATCTATATCCCGATCTGGCAACCAACTTGGGACCACCACCACCACCGGCACCACCGGCACCACATGGAGAGCAAGCTACGCTCACAGCCATGGTACAACCCACCACACAATTTCACTGTGCTGCCTGTGAATAACATTTTCTTTTGCTAGCGTATATGATATAGTAGTCTGTTAACCCAAGTTCTCGGATATCAAGGTTCGACCTTGCTCGGTTGCAGTGTTTAATCGAAGTTGTACGACATGAAACGTGCTGGGTCTATCTGTTCCGCCCCAGGTCTATCTGTTCCGCCCCAGGCTCTCATCGGGCCCGATCCATGCATGAGATCGACATCAGCGACCGTAGTCATAGTGGACTTGGGAATAATTTACCTTCAGCCTCGTGTGAAATTACTTTCGCCAATGTCGAACACCAAAACCTCGGCCGGTACGAGCTGTAGTGGTGATCATCGGTTTGAAGCCTTCAACGTCGAGGAAGGAAGAAAACCTCAAAGCACGATCGAGAGCCACGTCTGCGTCGTCGTTATGCCTAATCTCACATGCCGCGGCTCTCAACCATAGCATAGTGAGATCACTGACCGCAGTCAGGATTTCTCAAGATGCGCTGGATTCAGGCCACTCATCAACGCATTGATTCATGCTAAATGCTTCGTCCTGCGTGGCTCTCCGGCGTCGACCCGCCGTGTCTCGTTCACTCGACCGCTCGCGATATGTGGTACAAATAAGTCTCACCTTCCCAACCTTGCGAAGAAAGTGCTGGTACACAGCACAAGCGCCATGTCCTAGCCAGCGATGACGCTACGCCCGAAGCCGATGTCCATTATGGGACCAAAAGAAGAAAAAAAAATGATGGCAGATACTGTTGCTCGCGTCGAGCGTCCTCATCGGCTGAGCTCCCAGGATGACCCACGGCATGCCTGACTCCGTGTACCGTACCTCCAACTTTGGCATCGTGAATTGGTAGGTGAGCTGAACTGCAGTGCCTAGTACCGAAGGCATACTTAGGGTCCTGTAGAGGTATATAGTCATTCCACGTACAGTCCATTGTTACCGTATTCACCCCAAGGCTTCGAAAGGCGCCTGAAACCTCGAATGCCTCGGATTGAACACATGGGAAGCGTATGATGGATGAATCGGAGGTTCGCATATGAGTCGGAAGTATCGGGTCTGCTCATAGTCCAGAATAAATGCCAAAGAAAGCCAAAGAGGAAACCAAGACAATACATTGGAGTATCTAGAAGATTTGAAACGGTAGACTTTCTGGGATCGTACATACGTTGAGGTGGTCTTTGTCATTGAGATCAAACTACATACCTACCTACCTCTAGGTATGGTACACTACTGTACAATACTGTGCTCCTGTTGTCCTGTGCTGACACAGCTCTATTTCACAGTTGCTCCTGGCAACCATCCGGTTGTTTTCCACGTGCTTCTGCAGCTGCACTTTCAGATGCGACAACGGCTTGAGTACAAGGTCTCTCCACAGTTGCACTGTCAGCCACATTTTCATTCGCCCATAGGTCGTGGTGCTGGAGAGGGAAAAGGTCCAGAAAAATTTTCATGTTGTTCAGAGACCTGCGTGATTGGTGTGATTGGACCTTTCAGAGTGCGAATTGTGCGTGGTCACTGGCCCCTCCAACGCAAGGGAATGAATTTGACTTTTCACGCTGGCTTTCCTACTCCGTCGCTGCTTCTCCAGGACTCGAATCCTGACATCGTCCTGCCAAATCAACAACCGCTTCTTCTCCAGGTCGACCGGTCTCTACCAATCCTTCAAGATGTCCGAAATTGCTCACCCCACGATCCAGGGTACGTGTTTTTTTTTCTTCCGCTGACGGCCGTCTCTCGCTGCGCAGGCGTGTTACCCCTCCATCCATAATTCCATTGACGGGAACTACCTCATTGCGGGCCGCAAGCTGTCGCAACCCCGCCATGTGCATTGCCAAACACAACGGCGCTTTCTTGTGGCACACGCAACGAGGACCCCTCTCATGAGTCGGCTTGCACCAAGCTTCACGACACATGGTGTGCGCTTTTAGGAACAACAGTAATGGCACGTTGGATGTCTTGTTGTTGTCTAGCGGCACGGTGATTCGGGGGATCGCGATGCTATCGATTGCTGTCAAGGGCTGGTGGCTACCTTATTGCGCCAGCATGACCTGTCGTTCTTCCTCGTCCCAACGGACCTCGTCGTACATGCGGTTTTCATCGAGACAATATGTTGCATGTCGATATGACTGGATGGCGCACTGGCGTCATGCGAATTCGGCTTGTATTTGACAATATCAGACTGGCTAACCCATAGAACAGATGGCTGGTTCCGCGAGATCTCCAACATGTGGCCTGGCCAGGCCATGACCCTCAAGGTCGAGAAGGTCCTTCACCACGAGAAGAGCTTGTATCAGGATGTCCTGATCTTCAAGTCCACTGACCATGGCAACGTCCTCGTCCTCGACAACGTCATCCAGTGCACCGAGCGCGATGAATTCTCCTACCAGGAGATGATCACCCATCTCGCCATGAACTCCCACCCCAACCCCAAGAAGGTCCTCGTTATCGGCGGTGGTGATGGCGGTGTCCTCCGTGAGGTCGTCAAGCACGACTGCGTTGAGGAGGCCATCCTCTGCGACATCGATGAGGTATGTGCGATCCGATCCGCATATCAATGACCCTGCATCCGAATTGCTCGCTAACCGCTTTCTTCCGTCACAGGCTGTCATCCGTCTCTCCAAGCAGTTCCTCCCCCACATGTCTGCTGGCTTCGAGCACCCCAAGGTCAAGGTCCACGTTGGCGATGGCTTCAAGTTCCTCGAGGACTTCAAGAACACCTTTGATGTCATCATCACCGACTCCTCCGACCCCGAGGGTCCCGCCGAGTCTCTCTTCCAGAAGCCCTACTTCCAGCTTCTCCACGACGCCCTCCGCGAGGGTGGTGTTATTACCACACAAGGTTGTACGTCTCCTTTACTCGAGAAAGATCGAGCCCTGAGTGGAATTGGTTTTAGGCCAGGCATCCAACCTGCCTGTTTCAATCCTATGCGGTCCCTCAGGAACCTACCTAGTGGTAGCTCATCTCGACTTTCACACATGGGACGCAAGTCCCTTCTTGGATTCAGATTTTGTTCGCGCTGTCACTGTCTTCAATCATCTCCTTTGTCAAATGTCAAACGACCTGGCATCTCTTGAAGCCCCAATCGCTAATACTTCTTTGTGCAAACAGCTGAGAACCAGTGGCTCCACCTTCCTCTCATCACCAAGCTCAAGAAGGACTGCAAGGAGGTCTTCCCTGTCGCCGAGTACGCATACACCACCATCCCCACCTACCCGTCCGGCCAGATTGGCTTCATGGTCTGCTCCAAGGACCCCAACGCCAATGTTAAGGTTCCTCTTCGTTCCTGGTCCCAGGAGGAGGAGGAGAAGCTCTGCCGCTACTACAACTCCGAGATTCACAAGGCCAGCTTCATTCTCCCCACCTTCGCCAAGAAGGCCCTCGAGTAAAAAGCCTGCTTTGACGAAAAATAAACGAAAGACTGGTGATGACTATATAACGCCGTCATGGCACCGAATCTTCATGGCTAGGGCCGCATAGCACAGTTTCCGGGAATGGGAAAGGGGGACAGTCGAGATATGTTGGCGGATCTCCAACGTGCTTCTACCAAAGATACCAAAGATAGCGGCGTCAGCGCAGGGAAAAGGGTGCTCTGGAAACATCGCGCCTTTAAACAACCCTGCGCGCGAGGCTCTTGAAACGAAATATATCGGATTCGCCTCGCAATGTTACGTACAAATCAGAAAAATTGATAACGTGATGGTTACACAACTGATCAAACGTTCAGAATGTAACACACAAATCAATATATTACGATGAAGCCCGGCGAGTTAGGAACTCACCTTCGCCTGGCTTACGTCAGGATAGATATCAAACCTCCGCTGATCCCTTAGAGGAATGCCCGACCTCGCCTCCTCGATCTTTGTCCCGTCAAGCTCGGCACTCACAATTGTCTCGCTCTCCTCCGCCTCTACTAATACTCGGGCCATGGGGTCGACGATCAGGCTGTGACCATACGCATGGTAACTCGCGCTCGTATCCCTCGCCGGACTGCAGAGGGCCACGTAAATTTGGTTGTCCATGGCCCTCGCCTGTCCCTGCAGCCGCCAATGCAGCGGACCGGTTGTGGTATTGAACGCGCCCGGATAAACGAGAGCAAAGCAACCCTTCCGGGCTGCAATCATGGCCAGCTCCGGGAACCGAATATCATAGCAGATGGCCACGGCGATGCGGCCGTAGTCGGGCAAATCCACCAGCGTCACGCTGTTACCGGGCGACAACACATCGCTCTCCTTAAACTTGATCTTGCCCGGAATATCGATATCGAACAGATGCACTTTACGATGCGATGCAAGCAGTTTGCCGTCGGGGCCGAAAACCAAGCTCGTGTTGTAGTATGTCTTTTTGTCCTCCGTGCCCTCCTCGATGGCGAGCTCGGGAATCGACCCCCCCACCAGGTAGATGCCGTTGTCACGAGCCATCGCGGAGAGCGCGTGGAAGGACGGGCTCTGCTCGGCAGTCGGAGGTGAAGGGAGGAGCTGCTCGGCGTACGAGGGGAAGAAGTCGCAGCCGTAGGGGGAGTTGAAGCATTCGGGAAGAACGACAATGTTGGCGCCGCCTGAAGCGGCCTCGCGCACCTTGTCGGCGGCATGCAAGAGGTTGGCGGACTTGTCGGCGCCGCTGGCAAGTTGGATACAAGCTAGCTTGACTGGCTTCTTGAGGAGGATCGGGTGCTTGGTCGAGGAAGCCATCTTGCGGATTTGAGAATGAAGGAGTAGACGGATGGTGGTGGGAAGGGCAGAAAATGGATGGTGGTGGTGGTAAGTCGAGCTTTTCGGTCGGGTCAAGTTTGCAATAAGAGAGTTGGTGATGATTCGTATGGAGCGCGAAGTGATTGTTCGCATTGCGGTCTGCGGATTGCAGTGCTGACAAGAGCAGAAAAGGATGGAATGGGAGAAAAGAGTGGAGGGGTTCCGCGGTGTCGGTGCTCGGTAGCTCACGACGGAAAGCTGCCTTCTAGGTAGCTACCGAAGCCGAAGGCGGGCAGTGAGTGCCCGACCCCGCGCCAACAGGAGTGGGGGGCAGGTGGTGCGCTTGAGTAACTGAGCCACAGAAAGAGCGAGCCCCAGCCGGGGTGTGTGTCTAGCTAGGTAGTGGGTGAGCGCCACACGACATATGGGTACTTCCCACTTACACCGAGCTCACTTTCCATATTGGGACTCTCTGTTCAAGTTGCGGAAGGAATGTAACACCACCACATACCTACCTACCTATCGTAGGCAACGACTACAGCTTCCTCGTCTAGCCCGATATGAAGTCCACGGTGATACCTACTTCTATACCTCGGTCCGGATCGTGCGCTCAAAACTGAATTCTCCACTATTTCCGCATTTTCTTCCTTTCATCACGCCGAGTGCATGATCCAGAACACCACGCTCACAGCATCGATAGCGGCTCGACGAATCTCCTACTCAACCTTCAAAGTGTCAACTACTTGCTAGTGTCCTCTAGTCGGCCTCAATGGGCTCTGCTTAAGCGATCTACATTTCCAAACATCTTTATCTATCGTCGACGACTTCCGAGCCCAATGGACTACTCCTCTTCCGGGTCCCGACTATGCGAGCAGCTATTTCTTTCCAGAAGACTTTCCAAGTTCTTCAAGATGAACTGGACCGAGGGAACCTTGTACCGTCATAGTCGCGGGAAGCTGCGGAAAGCCAATGCAGAAAAGCAACGTCAGAAGGAGTACTTTGCGAGAGCTCACATTCGAGCAGCTGAGCAAAGGGAGGCTAGGAAGAACGGTCCTCCTCCTATTTCATACCTTGAGCCAGGTTCAGATCTACCAGAACCTCCTAGGGACGCATTTCCCCCCAAGCAAAACTCTACCCACGGTGCACCGCATCGGAGAGGAAGATGGGGTGCGAGTGTACCGACAGCAGAGGATACTCCAAAGTCGGAGCATCTCTTACCAACAGTCGACCAGTTCCTAAAGGAGCAAGTTGGCAAGGCCACTTCTACCAACACAGCGCCTTCTCAGTTGCTCCCAAAAGGGACACAGGTAGAAAGATTGAGGCAGAGGCTTCTTGCGAGCAAAGACTGGGGTGCAAGCCGGATTCAGTCCCCTGTCCAAGTCCACAATCGACCTCGCCCTATGCCACCGCATGTCGGTCCGACTCAACCTACAAGAGCAATGGAAGAAAAGCCAGCACATATTGTCCAGAGCAACCGGGGCCTGTACCCTCAAAAGCACACCTCTCATTTGCCTTTTCTTCGCGGGGCGGATGTGCAAATCCGCGTTGGAAGTCAAGAGAAGCAGCTCAAAAGCTCAACAATCGGCAATGGAAGCCTTGCGCATCAAAAGCAGAATGCCTCAACAGAAGAAAGTCGACACTTCATGACAAGCGCGAGCGGTATGCGCTACCCAAGATGAGATGGCTTCTGTATACTAAATGTTGTTCATCAGACTGTGAATCCAGAGATATGCCACCCCGCAAGCGAGTCCGAAGACGATCTTCATCGAATGCCGAAGATTATCCTTCTATACAAGCAGCATCACGAAATAGTGATAGCGATAATACACGTCATGTCGTGACATCAGTACCGAGCATCTTTCATCCAGTCCCTTTGCGAGCAATACCGAGTCATCTGTTGCTCTCTTCGGGATCATTGGATTCGGCAAATAGTGCCAGCCATCTCGCTCAGGTTGGACGAACAACATCTTCTGTCCCGCCCTCGCAGAAAGCGGAAAACTCAACCTGGAAGGCGTGGTTGGAAGAGTCTAGCAGTGCTTTTGGTGCCCAAACAAATCCTGAACCGCATGAGCCGGTGGCACAGCTCAGAATCAGTCCTGGGGTAAGCGAAAGACAAGTAAGGCACCAAGGGTATTCACCACCAGTCCACGCACTCTGTACCGGTGAGAATGACGTTTCTCTGCCTGAACTTCAGCTTTTCAGTGCAGACGCACAATCAAATGTGCTTGGCCAATATGACAGACCTGTTGCCAATATTGGACATTCGACATCAGCTCTAAACCGGGGAAGACTGTCGGTATTGCTCGAAACGTCATCCATTAGTGCCGAAAAGACAGTAAATAATGCAGACCGGCGTATATCTGCTGTCTCCAATCAAGCAGTATCCACCCAATGTGAGCCCAAGAAAGGACTACATCGAGGTGACCAGATTGATGCTTGGAAGACATTCGTGTTTGGGGACGATGACAGTGAAGAGGTCGAACGAGACGCATTCAGTGAAGCAAGACATGATGCCGCTCGACTTATACGGCCATACGATGAGAATAGCCTTCCATCTATCGGGGACGGGGACCACTCTGGGTACGACAGCAACATTGCAATGGCTGGAACGTCTTCCTCTGGCAACGCGGAGGGATCAAAACCTTATGAGAGACACTTTGCCATCGACAATCCAAACCAAAGTCCCAGAAAAATCCATGAACCAGCATCAACGGATTCACAGTCTAGTGCAACCTCGGCGGAGGAACATGTTGTTATTCCGCGTTATACACCATTTGCCAACGGTCATGACAGTGTTGCCGTGGAGCGTCCTTGTGTTGACACAAGTCCCATCAGTAACAAGCATGAGACAGCCGAAAACATAACGATCGCCATGTCAGACGCATCAGGCGAGTCGGCCTCGATAGCGATTTCGGTACCCACATGCCCAAGTGCGTCTCTAGTAGTTGAACCAGCTCATTCCCGACTTGGGGCCCCGGATTCTGGGGCACAGTTTCGATTTGCGGCGCCGAGACCATTCGTGGGTAAACACTCTGTTCCATCACGCAATGACCGCCCTTCAGCAGCTATTGCTCCGGTCAGTCTTAAATGGAAAAGGGGTAGACCGAGAAAACGGGCGCGTGACGGGAGGGCTGATATACGGGCACTACCAAACTACAGCGGCGACCCTATTGAGGAGATTGAGGATGACGATGATGCTCCGCCGCCATCTTTGTTTGGCTCTCTGGACGTTTGTTATGACCAGTGATACCATATCTGAGACTACCATCGTGAAGTGATGGCATGCACCGAGTTCCGTGTCTTTAGATCGTTGTTATTTCATGTATTTCAGGCTGCTTGGTGGTGTTACATGACCTTCTTTAGATAATTACCATGAAGTCCGAGGAGGTAAGTCACCATGCAGCATTGTTTGGTACAATCCTGAGCCTAAACACTGTGTCATTGGGTGATACATGAACGAGCATATGTAATTGTCGCTTTGACGTTTTCGCAAGACAATAGCTCTGGAACAAGCCAAAGGTTTGTGCCCCGGAAACAAAAAAGCAAGCATTCCCTCTACAAATTGTAGCTCGTGTTTCCATGTCAAGTCCATAAGCTAGCTAAGCTAGCAAGACAGCTCAAGGGTAAGGTAAGTACTATTGAATCATACAGCCCTTGGACTGTGGCTTCACAGGCCTCCGGTCAGGAACAGCAATTTGAGTTTTTTCTCTTCTTTTTCCGCCGTCTCTGGACTCACCCAGGTGCCATGGTCTACTTTCAAACACTATAAGATAAAGACCTACTTGCAAAAGGCAGAATTTTGGGATTTTCGATTGATTGACACGGAGACTTGCACAGACCGGGACTAGTGAGCCCGTACCTGCATTTCAAAGTTAAGGCAACAACTATACAGGAAGGAACTGGTTGCTGGCTGAAGGAACTTCCATCCGGCGAATCTGTTTGACCCAGATCAGATGGGACTTTCACGTGAATGCAAGAGGCTTTTTTTTTTTTTTTTTTTTTTTTTCCGTGGACGAGGGTGAAGACTTTCTTAGGCCCAGATCGGCTCAAACTTTTCCTGTCAACAGTTTGAAAGAGACAGGGGTTTTTGCCGCCAAGATTAATTTTTTTTTTCACCTAACCAGCTTGGGCAGCGGAAACTCTGGGAAACTTGCCCAAACTTGAACTAGGGTGTCCGAAAGAAGTTACCCGCTAATATAGGGCATATCACCTTCCAAATATAGTTAGAGATTGGCAAAATAACCAGAAAGTTGGTATTTGTCGACGTATTTTCTACCAGAAGCTCAGAAGTAGGTAAAACCCAAAAGTTTGAGTATTTTTACAAATTTTTAACTATTTCTATACTAAGATATATAATATAAGTAGGAGCGGGCTATTAATAAATATTATATCTGCCGAACCGTATTCGAGCTTTATATTCTAGGCTATTGGAATTCTAATATATTATAATTGCTATATAATTATATTCTTCGAAATCGGTTTAGTATAGACCTAGGTCGTATTAACTGCGCTGCCTTCGTATTTATAATATTAACTGCTATCTAAATTATCCTCAATTTAAAGGAAAGGAAGGTTTCTAAAGCTATATATTATAATATAGATTATACTAAACGATTAATTAATAAGATATATTATAGTTCGGTAATTTAATTTAAGCAACTCTTTAGAATAAATCGATTTACTTTCAATTTACTAGTACGATAGCTTTAAAACTATACCGGTCTTGAAGCTAATTAATACTAGACGGTACATTAGAAGCTTATAGTCTTTCTATATATTATAGCTTATTACGAGTCTTAACGGACTACCTCGTATAAATTTTAAATTAATTAGAATACAATATCCACTATTATAAATGATATACTCCTTCGATTTAAATATCTATACGCAGCGTATATATAGATACTACCGGATGACTACTTTAATCCTAATATTGAGTTAGATCCTAATTTAAATATTTTTAATAATTATATTAGTATAATTAATAGTACTTATATCGTTACTTTTATTAAGAGAGATGACTAATTAAAATAGTATAA